CCGACTTCAGCCAGGTCACGATCTCGCGGTCCATGGGTTCGAGCCCCGCGTCAGGCTCTGGGCTGATGGCTCGGAGCCTGGAGCCTGTTTCCGATTCTGTGTCTCCCTCTCTCTCTGCCCCTTCCCCGTTCATGCTCTGTCTCTCTCTGTCCCAAAGGTGGATAAACGTTGAAAAAAAAAATTTTTAATAAAATTGTGGGCATAAAAAATAAGTGATTACTTGTCCAATCAGTAAAAAATGCTTTTTAGATTGTTCTGTGAATATTTTTACTTTATGGACAAACCATACAACTAGTTGACTCACTGAAAAAGCTCATGGTTTAAGTCAAAATCCTGTCATGTTAGTCTTACTTTCTTTCCTTCCCATTCAAATATATTTCAATGTAATAAAGAATCTAATTCAGATTTCTGTCTACTGTAACTACCCTAGCTTGGTCCTATGAAATACACAACTTAAGAAAGTTTTGAAGATTATTAATATATACTAGCCATTTTGGAGTTAAGTGATGTAGGATAAATCTCAGGAAAATAAACGTACTGTAGTCCAAGTTCTTACATTTGGAAAAATTATCTACCACTCCCAAAATACTTAGAAAAAATTGGAAAAAAACACACAGAAGTAATACCATCCTTAAAAAAGGTGTTCTCATCATCTAAAATAAAACCTACTAAGAAAAAATGATTCATGAATTCAGCTTCCATAGCTGGATTTACAATTCACGTGTAACATATGACTACTATACGTATGGAGTCCATTCTAGACTCCGTCTCTCAGTAGTGGTGTAACTGGGATACATGCTGACCCTCAGTTTCAACATCTCCAAAATGAGAGGGTTGGAATAGACAACCTCAAAGGACCCATCTAGAGTGTATCTTTGTGATTCACTGACAATGAACATCTTGTAATTTAAGTATAGTTCTCCAAACCCTCTGCCAGGATAGTTTTCAAAATTCTTATCATCTATATAGTTTGCATTTGAAAAAATATCACTTGAACTTAATACCTATTTGTAACCATAAGGATTGTCTTCTTGCTTCCAGAAATAGCACAGTGGCATCGATAAGTCTCTCCTTCTAACCTTTTAACATGATTCTGAAAAGAAAACAAGACTCAAGATTTGCGTAGTACATGCATCCAAATAGTATTTCCAATACTGTGTTTAGTTTATTATAGTAACAGTGCTAGTTAGGAAAAAGAATTATTAGAAACAAAAACACAATATTGGCACATGAAACTAGAAAAATATTCATAGCACATTTATAAATTAACTTCCACTGTGTCTTAAACGACAAATCTGTATTAAATACTTACTAAGTGATCTTTTGATAAAATATACCTCATTCTGTGATAACTCAGCAGTTTAAAAATATCTACCAGAAATAATCACACATTTTCATTAACAGAATATAATATATGCAAATATAAAATGTGACATTAACATTACAGGGGTTCTTAACCTTGGGTCCAAGGAAGGACCTGGAAGGTCTATGAACCCTCTAAAATAGACTCTAAAGTTTTGAAAATGTGGTTTTGCAACTTTTTTCAAAGGATGGTTCATATTTTTCATCAGATTTTTTCAAGTGGTCTGTGACCCTTCTCAAAGGTGAAGAATCACTGATTTACAGAGAGATAAATATACCACAATAATAAAATTCCAAGAGAACTGATATTTAATGTTTTTGAATTATGTGGTCTTATAGATTAAACGTGCATGAAAAGCCAATGTATACACCAAATTATATTCTTGATAAAAAAGAAAATATTATGTCAATATTAACACAAACATGAAGAGTTTCTAAGATTTCAAATAGCTGGCACAATTTATTGCTAAAGACAATTAACAAGCATAAATAATTCAAGTATAAATAGCACATTAAAATACATTTATTTTCATTTCAACTATCTCCAAACTACTGTGATTTGAATTGGCACACATTAAAAACAGTTATTTTTTATAGCTAATGCTAATGAAATATCATTGACATTATCTATAATGCACGATTAAAGATCAGATGATATAATGTATATGAAACTACAGAACATAAACATACCTAATAAACAAGACCATAATATTTATAACCAAGAATACAACATCAATATTATTAAAGGATAACCTAATAATAATCACAAGCAGAGAAAGCACATTTGTTATTATTTCAATGCTTAAATACACATTTTTAGAAAATCCTTGGTTCAGTTATTCCTTGACAGTTATGAAAAGCCATGAACAAAGATGAATCCCCAAAGAAACAGGATCTCATCTTCAGAATGAGTCTCAGAGACAAGTGGAATTTAAGTCACTTGTTTCACATCCTGCCTGTGAGAATTAGCCAAAATCTTTCAATATTTATACCTTAAATTCTATAATAAAGAAAAATGGGAAATGAATATAACGATTCAATACACTTATTTTCAGCTTTGAAATTTAAATGTTAAAATATTTAGATTTGAGATGCAATGTAAAAGAAATACTACCCACTTCCCATTTCGTATGCACTTTCATTAGTTTATCAGGGTACTGTGCTTTGAACCACTGAAAGCCTTTAAAGGGCAATGTATCACCACACTACACTACCAGAAACTATTTTAAGCACTACTAAAATCCACTACACTCTGAGATTCAGATTAAGATATTCAGTCACTGATGGCAGCAGGAGAATAGATTTACAATATTTAGCAAAAGCATTCAAGATTTTCAAGTAAATTCTAAGGAAATAATATATGAAAAAACAATATTTATAAGGATGTTTATCACAGAATTATTAGTGTTAGTAAAATAACAGAAGCATCTTTAATGCCAACAACTTGGAATGATCAAATACACACTAGAAGGTTACCTCAATAGATGGTAATGCAAGAATTAAGAGTGAAGCATTTCTATGAACATGGAAAAATGTAATTAAAATAAAAAAGCAACAGACATCATTTTAAATATCATATAGTCACAAGTATGTGAACCAAGTGAATATTAAATAAAAACTGGCCATATATATATATATGTGTGTGTGTGTGTGTGCATATATATATACACATATATATATATACACATGTATATATATATGCATGTGTGAACAGTATTTTAGGAGAATAAGGGTGAAGCAGAAAAGTATATCCTATGAAAACACAGTGTATGATTTAGTAATTTTGAAAGCTTAGTGAAAAATACAGAGCAATACTCAAGAGAAAAAGAAAATGGGGTAAATGAAAAGATTCCCAAATAAATTATTTAGAATGTATCCATATTATAGTAAGAGGGCTAGGAGGGAATAATTTTACACTCCAGTGTTCTTTAATATTTACCCCGATAACAAGTTTTGTTATGCTTGGTCCCTGAAGACTGAAGTTTTCATTTCTTTTGTATATCCAGCACAGTCTAGATAATCAATAAATACTTCATACCTAAGTGATTACAGCAAGATAGGCAAGGGATCAAACAGCCTAAATTTAACTATCCATGCCTACCCCTGTCACCTATGGAAAAAATTAGCAAGTCCTCTCATTAATGTACAATCATTTTATTTTTTCCAGTAACTACAATAATATATTAAACTTTAAAATGTTGTCTGATATAATAACAAAAACTAATAAATCAGAGATATATTTAGCTAAAATAATAAAAATTACTTGAATTTTGTGCTTCTAGACATGCAGTTGAAAAAAGGGAAATCACAAGGTTACTAATGTAAAGAACTAAACAAAAGGTAAACAATAAGAAAAAAATGTAAACAAGTTACACAATTTCCCAAAAGACTCATAAAATTGCAATATATCCAAGAAAATTAAAAATCGTTACTTTTACCTAAGAAGGAAGGGTAATTATTAGTGATGATTTAAGACAGCATCTTGATTAGTTATTGTGCTTGGTTCTCAGAAATTGTACATGCGGTGACATTTTTGCCAACCCTCAATTATCTAGGCACAAGAAGAGTCTGTCAGCTACAGTTTTAGGCTGATCTTTGGGTGTCATTTTTTCTCCTTTAAAGTGCTTGTATTAAATAAGCATTCAATTACTTCTTTTGGTAACGACAATTTAAAAAATATATAATCCAACTGAACAGTTGTACGTTAGCAGTTTCACTCTCTTCAAATGTATGACGCATTAAATGTAAGTTTATACTTTGGTTTCAATTTTGGGGAGAAGGATGAAAGCTGCTAGATAAGATGCTGTTAAGTCAAATCAAACATTTCTATCATTTATCATAAGAAATCAAACTGCAATTTACTTTGAAAATTAACTATGAGGGTACTAATTTCAAAATGATAGTTTATAATTATTTTGTTCTAAGATAACAAATCCTCTTTAAAAACTTAAAAGCTTAAAAAGGATTGGTTTTTAAAACTAAAGATAGCTATAAATTCAAGGGACACATAAATAATTTGCCTAATTACACGTTCAACTTTTATTTATGTTAAGAAAAATAATAACTGTGAAATAAGCATAATCAACAAGGAGATTCAAGTTTTGAAAAGTAAAAATGCCAAGGGCTGATATTTATGTAACATCATTATAAAATGATTGCTATTTGTCCAGCAAGAGTACTGAGAGGTTAAAAAAAAAGAAAAAAGAGATTAAGGGCACATGTTCTCAAAATTCATGTCTCAATGCTTCTTTGAGGTCTAAGGACAGACCAACAGCAACTTGTATTTCAGTTATTAAAACATAAGCCCCAGTTAACAGCCCCATAAATTGAGTAAATTGGGGTGCTGTGTGAAACATAGTTAGGTCATTCCATCATCAGGACTCACAGATAGAAAGAACACATAACAGATTGGACATAAGAATTGTTCTTATTTTTCTGATTTACCTGAAAGTACATGAATACCATAAGAAAAGATAAAACTTTCAAAATGATAGTAAAATTGTCTGCCTCTGAACTCAATATAAGTTTTTCACCAACTAAAAAAAGAAGGGAGTTAATTTCCTACATCCTTTAATATTTCATATTAATCTCTTATTCCTGTACAGTATTACCAGGGATACCACCATTCTAATTTGTAGTTGAGCCAGTACAATAAGTTGAGAGAGAGGTGAGAGTTGTAAAGAAAACTTAATTAAAATGAACAATCCATCTAAATAAATCAAAGACAGTCAATTAATACCACAGTTTGTTTTGATTTTTAAGGATGAAATCAAGTAGTAGCATAGGAAACATTTACTCCTGTATTTCCAGTTCTTGCTGTGTAGGCAGAAAAAGAAAGAAAATAAAGTTAGAAGCATGCAGGAAGATAAAATGTATCAACATACAATAAAAACCAAAGGCTAAGAACAATGGAGAGTCATTTTACTTTGAAGTCAAAGTAGGAAAATATTAATAAATTTTTTTTTGCGGGGTGGGGGAATCCAGTCAAGGGAGAAAAGCAATTTACATATGTATATATTATTTAAAAGCAGTAAAGTTAAAACGAAAATAAAAACCAAAAAAAATCCACCTTAAAACATTTTTAAGGTTTAAAAAGATTATAATTATAATCTTTTTTCTTCTTTCCTCCAGCTTCTGTTTACCTGAATAAATCTAGATTTACAGAGTAGTCCAAATAAATTAATATGGCTGGGAGAAAAGGAAGCAGTGGGATTCCTATAATTAGCTATAAAGCAGGAGACCAAAGTTAACAGTGTTAACTAAATGAGCTACCACACAAACAGTAATAAAGCCTAAGACTTCTTTTAACGCTTTGCTTTCTGCACAAAAAAGCTTTGCTCCTGTGCAGAAAAAAAAATGACGTTATTCCCATTTAAAACATTATGCTAAAACAAAAAAAATAAATAAACAATAAAATTCTACTCTACAAACCATGTTCCCTGTATAATCCTTACAAGAAGTTCATGAATCAGGAACTTTAAGAACCACCCATGGAATCCTCGTCCTAGAAATCTTTAATATTAAATTTTACCCGTGACCATGAAGAACAGAATTTATACCTCAAATAAATCGTAGCCCTCAGATTCCTGTCTTTCATATGGGCGAATGATGCCATCCTCGTGGATGAAACGAGGGGGTCGGAGCCTGGACACTTCCTCAGTTGACTCTGCTGCCCTGTAAAGGCAGCAGAATAAGCACAAAAAATATGTGAGAATCTTTCAAAATAATACAAATATATATGTATATTAAATACTGCACCACATTCCATATTGTACCAATATTTGATAAAAACAGAGTGATTTTAACTAACCGGTCCATTATTATGCGACAAGTATTATAAACAAGTCTGTCCGACTCCAATTCCCCCCCCCCCCAACTTTTCTTAAAGGAAAGAAAATATCAAAATAACAAAGGCAGGGATTAACTTGTCCACTCTTTGTATCCTCGACATCTAGAACAGGGCCTGGCATATAGTAGATACTAATAAACATTTGTTGAACACAAGAGAAACTGAACCATAAAAACTGTCTCCTCTTACTCCTTTCTGGCGGCACTCCACCTTGTGAGTCTGTAAGCGCTTTCAGTCAGAATTTAACACTCTTAAGAGCAGGCAAAGTATTTAACTTATTTATGTATTCCTAGCTACCATAAGTCCATAGACACATGCCTTGTACATGGTATGTACTTAATTACCTCTGAATCCCTTGGAAGGTGCTGCTGGCCATATCTATGATTCCACCCGTTGGACGAGCCACAGCACCCACAAGTCCTTTTCCAATTCCTTTAAAGAATCCAGCAGCTCCTTCCTTTTTGGCACCTTCATAAAACCAAGGACAATGAATGTATAAAGATATTTTAAAATAAGCAAATTTGAACTCAAAAAATCCTGAGCCAAATACTGAACTGTTTTACCTAGGAATCTTCTACATTTTGGCTTTCTAAAGAAGGTGAATTTAATCATAAAATGTAAAAAACAGTGGTTTTCAAAGTGTGTTAAAAATACCAATTATTGGGGCGCCTGGGTGGCGCAGTCGGTTAAGCGTCCGACTTCAGCCAGGTCACGATCTCGCGCTCCGTGAGTTCGAGCCCCGCGTCGGGCTCTGGGCTGATGGCTCAGAGCCTGGAGCCTGTTTCCGATTCTGTTCTGTGTCTCCCTCTCTCTCTGCCCCTCCCCCGTTCATGCTCTGTCTCTCTCTGTCCCCAAAATAAATAAACGTTGAAAAAAAAAATTTAAAAAAAAAAAAAATACCAATTATTAAGCCCCACCCCACACCTACTGAGTCAGAAAGTGAGGCCCAGTGATCAGTGTTTTAACACGCTGTCTGGGTCATCCTGAGTGGTGCTCAAGTTTTACAACCACTGCTTCTTAGACCCAAGAATCTAAGGTTTAAGAAATGACCAGAAATTTTTCTTTTTTGATTCTACCCTCAAGAGATTTTTCAAGCAGCGTTACCTTTTTTTTTTTTCAAATAAAAGAACATTACTGAATTATAATTCACTTACCATATAATTCACATACCCACTGCAGTATACAAATTAAATGCTTTTGGGTATAGGAGAGTTGTGCAACCATCGCCACAATCAATTTTAGAAAATTTGTATCATCTCGAACATAAACCCCATGACTATTAGCAATCATTCGCCATTTCCCCCAACCTGCCCTCAACTGATCCTGTGCAATTTAACTCCTTCCTCCCTGCCCCCCAGACTTAGGCAATCACTAATCTACTTTCCATCTCTATGGATTTGCCTATTCTGGACATTTCCTACAAATGCAATCAAACAATATGTGGTCTTTTGTGACTGTTGTTTTTTTTTTTTTTTTCATTTAGCAACATGTTTTCAGGGTTCATTCATCTTCTACTTGTAACAGCACTTGATTTCCTTTTACAGCTGGATACCATCCCATTGTAGAGATATACCACATTTTCTTTAATTATGCAATTGCTGACAGACATTTAGGTTGCTACCACCTTCTGGCTATTATGTTCTATGAACACTTATACATAAGTTTTTGAGTGAACACATGTTTTCAATTCCCTTAGATATATACCTAGAAGTGGAGTTGCTGTCACACACATTAACGCTGTGTTTAAATCCAGGTGTCCCAGCACCATTTGTTGAAATGGGTATTCTTTATGGAATTACCTTGGCACCCTTGTTGAAGATCAACTGGCCACAAATGTAAGGATTTACTTCTAGAATCTCAAGTCTATTCCATTGATCTATGTCCATCCATATGCCAGTACATTGTCTTAGTTACTGTACTTTTATGGTTTTTAAGTTGGATAGTGTAAGTTCTCCAACTATGATCTTTTTCAAGACTGTTGTGGCTATATTGGGTCACCTGAATTCACATACACATTTTACAATCAGCTTGTCAATTTCTGCAAAGAAGCCAACTGGGATTTTGACTGGGACTGCAATTAATAAAGTACCTTTTTAATAGGATAAAAAAAGATCTATTGCTATTGAGGATCTAAAGGAACCCAGTTGAACTATGGTCCCGCTGAAAATAACATTCAAAATCTGAATCATAATCTATTACTTAATCTCTCTACTTTCCGAAGAAAGTACATTCATTTAAAACCAATTTAAAACTATGAGCATAAAATCAGACATTCTCTCAATTAAATAACTAGTAGCAATAACATCTGTTATGCTTATTATGTATCAATTCTTCAGACTTTGTACAGGAAGGAGACATTCTCAACCTACCTTCCACAGGTTTTGTTATTATCCCAGTCACTCCACCAACAACTCCCTGAAAGAGATATCAATCATAAAGTCAAACCTGAATGGAAGGTGCTTGAGCCAACCACTAGAGGTCTCCACCTACACACTAGATATAACTTTTTTTCAAAAAAATGAGGACTTATTTGATAATGTGAACATGTGGCTAAGTGAGCACTACAATTTTTTAAATATTACATAACAGAAAATTTTATTTTTTTTTTTAATTTTTTTTTCAACGTTTATTTATTTTTGGGACAGAGAGACAGAGCATGAACGGGGGAGGGGCAGAGAGAGAGGGAGACACAGAATCGGAAATAGGCTCCAGGCTCCGAGCCATCAGCCCAGAGCCTGACGCGGGGCTCGAACTCACGGACCGCAAGATCGTGACCTGGCTGAAGTCAGATGCTTAACCGACTGCACCACCCAGGCGCCCCCAGAAAATTTTAAATAAAAGCACCTTGTACAAGTAAAATTCTATAACAGGAAGAATTAGAAAAGCAGGCAAAAAGATCCTACATCTGGCTCTGGAACCAATTTAGCTCTATAACCACGGGCAATTGATTCAATCTCTTTAAGCCTCAGTTTCCATATCAGTAAAATGAATGAGTTGAGCCAAATAATCCCTAAGATCTAATTACAAATTTTAATGAAATAACTTTTTAATTTAGTGGAAGTGTGGAAAACTGAAAACGAAAGGACCTCTGAAGGACAGCAGATAGCCTAAGAAGTAAAGTACTTTCTCTTACACAGCACACAACACTATAAATCACTGGTACAAACATGTTACAATTACAAGTTAAAAACAGTAATACATTTATACATTCTTAATACTTGTCAAGTAATGGTAGTAAATAAAACTACCTGTATGTTACACAAATGCAAAGAAAGAGAACTGAAGTATACCCACTGTTTAAAAAATCAGATACTTCTGGGAAGAGAGGAGGGTGATCAAACAGAACTTTACAGAGTTACCTATATTTCCATTATTTATTAAATAATGTTACCTGTATAATTAAGCAATATTCGTAATTACCTGTATAATTTTTAAAGTACTGAAAAACAGTGAAAAGCAGTCCCTGGTTTACAAAAACTTAACTTATATACTTCCCTGCCACAAAAATGATCAACTGATGATGACCTAAACAACTCCCCCTCCCTCTCGTTACCATCGTTGACCATATTTCTCTCTGCTTTACTTCCTCCTCTTCCAGAAGAGAGCTAATCTGCCATCATCCTAGAGTTTTGACTTCAGCCCAAGTGCCAAATGAAGTCTGGGATTTGGGGGAAAGATGTGATGGTGGTATCAGCAAAGGAGAGCGCACAAGGAAACAGCAAAACCCATGGTTTTTCACTACTGCTGTTGTGACAGACTTTTACTCACAAGGAATATGCCAAGTTTCAAACAACCAGCTTCGAGTACATATTCTAAAGTGTATACAGAAGTTCAGGACTTCTTGGAGACTCAGTATGAGACTTACACGCAGGAAGCCCTTTCCTCCTCTGGCCAGGCTGTCTCCAAAATCTTTAGGCTGTCGACCCATCTCTTCTCTTCTTTTCTGCTGATATTCCTTGTCCATTGTAATTGCTGCCAAACCTTTCCCAACAGAACCAGTGATGCGAGATACAACTCCTGCTGCACCACCTATCAAAAGACCCGGAGAAGTAAGTCACATTGCTTCTTTATTTTTTTTTTAATTTATTTTTTTTTTCAACGTTTATTTATTTTTGGGACAGAGACAGAGCATGAACGGGGGAGGGGCAGAGAGAGAGAGAGACACAGAATCGGAAGCAGGCTCCAGGCTCTGAGCCATCAGCCCAGAGCCTGACGCGGGGCTCGAACTCACGGACCGCGAGATCGTGACCTGGCTGAAGTCGGACGCTTAACCGACTGCGCCACCCAGGCGCCCCTCACATTGCTTCTTTAAAGAGCAGCTACCCCCAAAATCAAGAGCACACTGTATACACTGTACGTTAGCCAACTTGACAACAAATTATATTAAAATAAATAAATAAACAAACAAACAGCATTACCACAATACACAGCACACCTCTGCTTTAAACAGGTGCATCAAATTCTGTCTCAAATACAAACACACAGAAATGTATTTTTTATCATTTCCTGCTCATTAAGAAAAGGAATCAAACTATTTAAAGTATACTGATTCTCCAGAATTTTTCTGTAAACCTAAAACTGTTCTAAAAGATACATTATTGTTTCTCTTCAAAAAAGTACACTGAATCAAGACTACAAAGACATATAAACAAACCCAGGAAGTCTACGGTTAAACTGTTTTCCATTCAAGAATAAGGGAACACATCTTTTAAACAGAATTATTAGAAAACTGTTCCCTCTTTTATTAAATATAATCATTTGTTTTTATAGACAATGAATATTAGAATAACTATTATAAAAAATACATATATTTACATACACAACTATGTGATACATACCTACAGTGTGTCCAAAGAGACTTCTGACTCCAATCACTAATCCCTCAGCAAATTCTTCAGGGCCTTGAACAGCACCCTGGCCAAAAAATAAATAAATGAACAGTTTGCTATTTAAAATTTAAATAAGCTCAAGACTTGTGATCTAGTATTTCAGGGTTTCCATGAAGATACAGAATCTGTAAAGACCCATAAACACTGTGATGTCACAGTTCTCCCCCTCTAACGCAAATACTGACAGCACACCTACTGGGTACGAAGACACCTTCAGCCCACATGGTTTCAGTCAACTCTTCTGAGATAACAAAAACCAAACAAATAAATCATTTTCTTCAATCACAATCTGAAGTTACCAGCTGCATTGGTAGCAAGACTAAGAGCCCACAGTTTTGATTCTTTTGTTTTCCCATGTATTCTCTCTGCTTTGTCCTGCTAAAACTCTTACTACTTTGGGCTCCTGGGTCCCTTAAATGGAGCTGAATAGGTTAGAGGAAAGCTTGAATACAAAACAAAGTGGGCTTTTCATAGCTCATGAGTCTTTCCATAGTGGCGAAACAGCCCTGAAATGGTGTGAACCTACCTAGCATTCTTCCTTGCAACTACATGAAATCTTGGAAGCTGTGGGCACGTTTTAATGCCTAGACATCGGAAGCACTGAATTAATTCTGAAACAGCCTTTTAATGTCATCTCAAGTAATTTGAAGTAAAAATATGACATTAACGTATTTTTGTTATTTGAATATGATTCAGTTCCCAGATACAATTAAAATACAAATTATCTGTCATAAAGAACAGAGTATCATTTTCTGTACCTATACTTAAATATAAGATCAATACCTGGAAGGGTTCATAGAATAAAGCTTCAACTCCTTCAGACAGGCCTCTAATTAATCCAAATGGGTTTCCAAGCACATCTAAGCCCAATACAAGGACATACATCTGTTTCAAGAACTAAAGGGAAAAAAGATAAATTAAGTCCTTTACTACTGGTGTAAGAAAGAGTATCATGATGCCTTGGGAAAAAAGGAGAGTGCTACCTAAATTAGGTTGTTAAAGGAAAGCTATGCAGAATAACCACCACTATATCCATTAACCGATCTTTCACTATGTGCCAGGCATTATGCTGGTACTTTACAACTGCTTTCAATTTGGATAGATTGGCTTCAGGCAGTCTGCCAGTTAGCAGCTATGTAACCTTGGACAAGTCAATTAGTCTCTATAGGCCTCAGTTTTCTCATCTAAAAAAATGGAAGGAGGATGACACTGACCTTGCATGGCTGAGCATGCATATTAAATGAATATATAATTCAAAAATACTTATTTTTAATATGTTAGTATCACTGTTACTATGAAACTAGATTGGGAAATAATAATCAAAAGAAAAAACAAATTAAAGTATATCCTTATTTGAATAGGTAATAACCATAATGTCTATATACACCGTAGGAGAAAAGACGTTCTAGCAGAGGGTGGAAAGGGGAACTTCACCCCAGAATTCGATAGCACAGCAATGGTATCCCACTACCATGAAACAACAATTGCCCCTGCACCCAATTCAAACCATGGAATAACTGAGGCATGGAAAAGAGCCTGGCTTAGAATTCCTCTCCCATTTCTACTAGACTATGCTCAGAAACTTGAGCCATTTATGAAATAAGTGAGATGTCTCCTACATCGGTATTCCTTCCCAAAGTGGTAAATGTATAATTGCAAAGGGAAAAAAGGCACTACAGGAAACTTTTAAAAACTTTTATCTAGAGGGGAAAGAGCTAAAGAAATAAAAACTAGTCATTCAAGAAAACTACTAAGAAATAAAACTACAAATTGAGGTAAATTAGATAAACAATGTGCACACTGTGCAATCACATACAAATGTTTTGTTTGATATTTTATGAAGCATATTCTTTGTGAGCTACTATGATAGGAAATTACCTGTTCACTGTAATGTCTAACAACACTCCACATGAGCTGATCTCTCTTGTAAAACTGATACCGAATTTCATAATAAGCAAGTCTGGGAGGAGAAAGAAAGATTCAAAGGCATGATCATTACATTGGGAGAGAAAGAGACTTAAAATTTCAATGGTATGTTAATCATTGCTAATTGTTTTACAATTCTATTTGTAGATCTGCCACATATAATTTATGTTTGAGATCTTAATATTATGGTAACAAAATTACTATAAAATTAGTACATAAAAAGTAAAAAGATTGAAAAACTCAACCATAATCCCATTACACAGGGAATTTTTTAGGGTTTTTTTTCTTTTCATTTCCCACTTTGAATTCTTTCTTTTCTATACAATTCAAAAATATTTAAAACAGTTTGTATGCATTTTTACACTCAATATTGTGAATAAGGATCTATGTTATTCAAAAATTCTATGTAACCATTTTTAATGGATGCATAGCATTCTATCATGTGGAAATGTCATAAGAAAACAATTTTACCATAGTCAGACATTTCCAAATCTTGACCATAATAATTAGCGCTGCCATATGTAAATTTTGAATATAAGTCTTTAGTTGCATTTCAAGATTATTATTTTTTTTGGACTGAATTCCCAATAAAAGAATTACTGAATGATAAACTACAAAAACATTTGAGGCTTTGAGACATATATATATATACGTGTATGTGTGTGTGTGTATACATATATCTTTTCACTCCTACAAATCGTTAAAAAAAAAAAAAGTGCCCATTTGTTAGACCCAGCCCTTTTTCGTACTAGGATTACTCATATTTAAAAATCTTTGATAATTTACTTGAATTTGCATATATTATTTGCTATATGATAAAGCTGAACATGTCAAATATTTATCAGCCACTGTATCCTGCCTCTTGCAAATTATCTTATTGTCCTTTGGTGATTATGGCACTGGAATCTTTAGGTTTGTCTTATCAATGTTTGATATTAAGACTATTAATCCTCTCCTTGTCATATTTGTCCTTCTATTTTCCCAGTTCATGTTCTAATTGTTTTCACTGATTCTGTTGTATTTACTTTCTATGTAGTCAAATCTATCTTATATTTTCTACTGTGGGTTTTTCCATTGCTTCTAAACTGAGAATACTTTCTTTACTTAAGAGATTTGACAACAATTAACCTCATTGTTTTCCTCAGTCTTTCTCATTTGAATTTTATATTTAATCCTTCCATTCCTATGGAACTTGATAGTGTACAAGTATGGTGGAAATGGTATAAATGGATTTTTTTTTCCTCCAAGGTAACTACTTGTTCCAATACTGTTGCTGAATATTCAGTTCAATAAACATTCACTGAATTTATATGTGTCTAGCACACATAAATATTCTCAGATTAAATGTGGCATTATTATCTATACCTTTCCATATGATTATACTGAAATCTCATCATACTGCTACATATTTCTAAATATAAGTCTGTTCTAAAATGTGGTCAATTTATAACCTTCGAGTCAATTCCATTTTTAATCTACATTGATGATTATCAACATATGAATAACTGAAGAAAATATAATACTTTTTATGAGTAAAATAAGCATATCTAAAAAGCATAATTAGAAAGAGGCCAAACTTTTCAAGTATAATGAGAATTACCATTTTTCTAAGCTAACACTGTAGCCCAAATGGGAAGAATTAATACCCATAAAATAACCTCGGTACAAAACCCTCCCCATCTACTTTAACATAAATCTTACTTGAATATTAAGTCATCCACATCAGTCAAAGTAGCACCTATGCTTTTCAACAGCAGATTGACAGAATGAATTGCAATCATTTCCTGTTTTTCTTTGTCTGACTCCCCACTTCCACTACCCAAGGACAGACTCAAATGCAACTAAAAGAAAAATAATGTTCAATAAATACAAGCTAAAAACAACCAAAAAACTTATATACATAGAAACCAAATCTTTCAGATACAAACAGATGTTGTATATTTCAGTCCTAAAGAAAACTATTATTTGTTACTCTACACACAACACAGGGTAACTCACTAATATCTGATTTTCATATTTGCTTTTTGATAAAAGCCAAAGCAGTCTGTTCCAAAAACAGAGCTATAATTTTATCCAAAGTGTATACATACCATGATGTTTATATGGAGGGGGCTCAAAACACTTCACAAAAACAGTATAATCATTTCAAGAAGAGAAACAAGTCAAGTGGCACACAAGTAGTCTATCAGTCAAAATAACAAATAATCATTTATATTCATCCAACTAAAGTAAATAATTTATGGCAATAATTAACAATAACAATTATAATTATACAATAAGTAACAACAACATGACAATTACGGCAACAAACTTTTAAATAAATTTTTAAAAGAGTTAAGTGTTTCAGCTTCCACAGACTCCTTTAACTTAAACATGAAATCTTCACCTTACCATTTAATTTAGTTGTTTCTACTTTGGGCTATCGTCATTACTGCAACAGTGGCAAAGACACAAGCAGAAGGTAATTTTATCTGTACAAATAAAGCAGATGACTCTCCTTTCTGATTCTGCATTTTACCCAACCAATGTGTAGCTCAACAGAAGAGACTTGGGGTAAAACCAGAAAAGCCTGCGTGCTGTTTTTTTTGGTTTGTTTTTGTATTTTTGTTTGTTCGATGTCAGACAATGTGGAGATCCGTGAAAGGTAAGCTTAGGTGGACAGAGTTCCAGCCTTTCCCTTAAGGAAAGGTAACCATGGAATGAGAAAATAACTACTGTTTATGATCTTAATTATTCAATTTCATGACACAATTTCCAAAGTGCATAAAATCATGAATCGGTAATTAACAATCTTTAATACTACCCTAAGATTATAACCCATGAAGTCATTTCATACCTTCCAGAACAACTTTGATAGGAGGCATTCAGTAAATATTTGTGGAAGGTATTATTCAATCTCATATATGATTTTCGCTTAATAATGGAAAAGAAACTGTGTTTAACCTACCACATAAAACGATATCAATTTTAAACTCAACACTATAAATAGGTCTAATACTACCAACCTAGTATATTAGTTTAAAATAATAATTCAATTCCATTTTATAAATTAATTTATTTAGCTGAATGGATTGGTGGATGCAACTGAAAATAATGTTCTGTAAATAGTTTGGGGGAATGTAAAGGATCATCAATATTTTAAAGAGTTACTTAATTGTAGATATGGCCCATTACACAAGTTCAGAGCGTTATGGTTGATAGCATTTGTGAATTTACTAAGCATTCACCTCTTCCTATAAAACCTAAAAAGAACAACAGAAAGAAAAAAGAAAATGGGTTCATAAAGTACAAAATCAGGCAAGTGAAAGGTATCCAATTTTCCACTCCCTTAGATACAATCAAATTTTGGAAGGGTGAAAAACACCACATCAACAGTATAATACCTACTTCAGCGTTTTCACATTCTGGTTAGGGCGCCCATTATAGCTTTCTGTTTAGACCGTGAGAGTGGTTACAAAGTGCAACGAAAACATTAAATGTTGTGAGCACTTCTTCGCTTAATTAAGAAATGCTTTTCTCAGCTCCTTCCCTGAATAAAGGGGTTATTAATTCAAGACTAGAGAACATGCTCTGATGGTTTCTCTGTGGGAATTATGGTTGTACATATGTTACAGAAAATTGTCATAATTATTTCAATTAATCATAAAATTCCCACCAAATATTTGATACAAGTTATAACCCACATTTTGTATGCAGACCCCTAAAAATTGTACAATTCTGCTTAACTTGCAAAATAATAATTACTACAAACCTTAACAGGAGAAATATGGAAATGTTCAAAGAAACTAAGAACTGACATATCAGTCACTGAAGTCTCCATTAATTCTGTGTTGAGAGCATCAGTATCTTGCTGGATTAACTTCGTCTGAAAAAAAAAATAAAACAAGAATGTCTATTTTATTTTTTTCTCTAAGTAGTTGATGGCTAATTTAGTTAATTAGTTAGTTTAATTTAGTTTATAATTTTCCCAAGAAGTAAAAATTTTTACCCGTTTTCTTTCAGCTTCTGGGTCAGTTGTTGGGGTAAACAGTGCAATAATAGCTCCTAGAAACCCCTGATCAACTTTCAAGGCCATCTCCTGAATGAGGACCATAAAATACCTACAGAAAAATTTTTTTTAAAGAATGAAAAAGGGTTTCTATCAAACCTTGTAATTATCAGTGTTAAAACTTTGATTTTTGCATCAAGTCCCAATAAGATCTTACTCCTTCATCTCTTCAAAAGTGTTAAGAAGATGAAAGTATCCTTAAACTGAAATTGTTTTTTTCATTAGAGTGAAGTTTTCACTAGAGGAAATACTTGTATTAATACTCAGCATTTAAATACCCAAATCCCATATTCATCATATTACGAGACAAATACAATTAGATGGTATAGCATGTATTACTCCATTTTTAAAGTCCACAGCAATTGCTCTAAACACTTCGCAAATATATATGTCATTTATGTCACTGGCTATTTTATACTGTAATTGGAGTTACAAACAGGAAAAGGTGGTTAAGGAATTTTACACTTCAAAATTATAGAGGGGCTATATTTACTTGAAAATACTTGACCAAAGATGGACTGATATGCTCAGGTGGAAAATAATTTTTATATGGAAGTCATCCTCACAAGAGTGGAATTTATTTTCAAAGGAGATTCTCATTTTAAATTCCTTTATATAAACACAGGTATCTACTTACTTGAACTGTAATACTTTACTGTACTCATTAAATCTTGTGATGACACTCACATCAATGAAAGGTTTGGGCTCTAAAAGGAAGAAAGACAACAAGAAATAAACAGTCAAGCTTTATACTGGATCAAAAAAAAAGTCAGCCGGGGGGTGTGGGGGTCCTGGGTGACTCAGTTAAGCATCCAACTTTGGCTCAGGTCATGATCTTGTGGTTCAGAAGTCTGGGCCCCACAATGGCTTTGGGCTGACAGCTCAGAGCTTGGAGCTTGCCTTGAGTTCTGTGTGTCCCTATCTCTCTGCCCCTCCCCAGCTTGTGCTCT